AAAAAAAAAAAAAAAAAAAGTAGTGAATGAGTGCTCAGTTAGAATAGGCATAGCTCTGCTTAATAGCCTCCATAGGAATAGAAAAGTAACTTTTTCTCTTTTTTTTTAAGGTTCCTTGTTTGCTGCTTTGGGTATACGTAATAAGCAGGGATCCTGGTCAGGTCATTTAAGCAAAGGGGATTACAGTATTTGGAAGCAGGCTTTTGGGTAGGTTAAATCACAATGTAGATAAGTTACTTGATCACAGAATTTTGGAACTCAAGAATAGACGTGCCTCATACACAGTGACAGTCAGAAGTTGATTGATCGGGCTCCAGAGAGGCTGGAAATAGGAAACTTTTTAAGCTTGCCTGTTACTATGTCCTCACCACTTAACCCTGGTCCCCTCTTCTGGGGACAACGCTCTTTGTGGAGTGATGCTGTTTGCCAGCTTAAATAGGGCTGACCTATTTCAAAATTTGTGAGTTCTTGCAGATATTTTGTGTTAAAAGGTTGGTCTTTTATCTTCTCTAGAACTAGAGCAAAGATTTCAGTATTTTCGATACATGCTTCAGGTCAATTTAAGAACTTCAAGGAAACTGTAATAGAACTTGAGGTGGCCTGAAATTATCTAATACTTAAAGCTTATCTTTAGTTGAATTTTTATTAGTGTGGTTGGTCTTTTTGTGCATATTTGACCATAAGCTATTCATACTTAAATTTTTATGAATACTTTTTGTTCTGGGAGTTTTTTGGGATTGTATGTACGTATTAATGTTAAACTCACTTTAAAACCATAGTGTCATATTCCTAAAGTTATATGATTTTTATTAGGCTTGGCATAGTTAAAACGATCTGAATTCACGGATCATTGAGGATCTAAATCTGTAGAAATATGTATCTTTCAACCTCAACCAATGGTTCTTAACTGTTGTAGGAATCCTGACCCTTTTGAAAATTTATAAAAATTTCACGGCTTTCACTTGCCTTCTAAAAACATGTGTTTCTCTGTGTGTCTGCTCGTTTGTGTGATAATCTCTTTCCTTCCATGTGTTTATACACGCGTTTTTGTCTTCCACCCTGTTATTCCTTAAGACTATTAATGGATTTTCTATTGTCCACAAAGCCGCCAGGTTAGTTAGAGCTTGGCCAAGTCTTTTTTTTTTTTTTTTTTAAGATTTTTAAAGTAATCTCTACCTCCAGTGTGGGGCTTGAACTCCCAACCCTGAGATCAATGAGTTGCATGCTCTACCCAGCATGGTCAATTCTGATGGGTTTTCTGACACCCACATGTCACTGAGGGGTGCTTTTCTATTATTGTTTATAGTAAATGTAGAGCCAACATCTCTTACATCGGTCATTATATCTTTGCTTCTATCCCTTATCTCTTACCACTTTCTGTAGAAAGTGCCAAGAATGTGTATTTGGTCCATTCATACAAAAAGGTGATAAAGACTTTTACCATCAAGTAGATTTAGTCTTTTGAGTCCTGTGTCCTCCCATTCCCCTCACCCCTAGGAAAAAATAAGCCTGTCTTCAGCGTTCAGCTGGAGCGTTGCAGGTCTTCCTATCAGCAGCTTAGCCAGTTATGCATAGTGGTTGGATTTGGGGAAGAAATCTCAGTGCCTAGTTATTTCCCCAGCCCCTGAGAAGTCCTGATTTCCCAGGTGTGTGTTTTGGCCTTTTGTAGATTGAGCCAAATGACATGTCTTTAATACTTTACTCTTTTTCACAGGAAAAGTAAAGCTACTTCTGAAGGAACTCTGGCTCTGCATAAACACAACACACAGACTACCTGGTGAAGGCAGCCGATGTATCACAGGTGAGAGAGAAGGTTCCAGAAGTACATTTCATGCATGGAAGTAGAAATGTTTACCATGGGTATTGTATGCCTTCAGCTTTTACTGTCTCCTGAATCTGACATTGAAAGAATGAAATAAACTGGACTGGGTACTTTCAGTTACAGAGCTCCTTTCCAAACTTCAGTGTGGCTTCTGGTCTCAGTAAGTGTATCCGGCTTTTACTTTTTTAATAGTGGCTTTCATCAGAGGACATGCGAAGCTGGAAGGACACACAGGGGAGTGTCTGTGGCAGGAACATGCAGAGGACTGGGGAGGCATGGTGCTTTCTGAATCATTTCACGAGTGTCACCCATCCAGTAGCGGCCTCACTGAATTTACTTTTCCTGTAACAGCACACAAGCCAAAACTGAACTGATAGCGGCCGATCTGTACATTCAGTCTCCTTTAGAATACTGGTGTTGTCCGATAAGCGGTTTCCTTTCCTGCTGTCACGTCACGTCAGATTATTACTCTGCAGCACCATCCGCTAATTTTCAGTTTTGACTTCATCTGTGGGCTATCTTGATCCGCAGGCAAAGCTGTGGAGGCCTTCTGCCATGTTCTCAGTCACACCCTACTCAGGATTTAAGATTTGGAAATAGGTATTAGTCATCCCAGAGTGGATGGGGAGAAGTTAGCCTTCATGCATAAGATTAAAGCGCTCCTTAGCTTTTTTTTTTTTTTTTCCCCCGTTTTACTGGTTTCTTATCATTAGCTCCTGTGAATTCACAGATCATTGAGGATCTAGATCTGTAGCGATGTGTGCCTAGTTTTCGCTCTCAGGCTTCTGAAGGCAGAGTTCCCTCAGAAAAATGTTACCAGGCAAGTTGCTGATTCTCATTTGTGCTTGACTCAGTGAGGTTTTGTGAGGTGGAGAGAGGCCTGTTGGATTGTCGCCTGCTGCGTGGTAGCGCTGCAAGTGCAAGCAGGTGGCGCCTGCGTCTCGTGAGCCAGCCCTGCGGTTCACGGTGCGTGTCTTCATCTGTTCGCGCGGCAGCAGGCCGGGGCTCTAAGTCTGCTTCGGCAGCGAGTAGTCGTATTTTATTCTAAGCACTTGATTTCACGTTGTTCAAGGTACTATTAAAAGGGCTCTCCATTTCATAATTTGGTGTTTTTATTTAAAAGCAAACTATTTTGAGGGATAAGTGTATTGCTTCATGTTAACTTTTTCAAGTAGAAAGGAAAGCATGGAGTCTTTGGAATCTTCAGTCTTAAAATACACTTTTTTTTTTTTTTTTTAGTTTTTTGTTTTTATCTGAGAAAATTTTAAAAAATAGTGCAGAGAATTCCCTTAGACTCCTCATCCAGATTCCCCTGAATTTATCCCTTGGTGCAAGACTGTTAGCTAAGCGAAAGGTCACATGGATGTCTCTGGGCATGTGTCCCTTCCCGGAGCCCACGTTGCACCTAGCAGCCCTCCGCCTTCCGCCCCCTTAGTCTGGCAGTTCATCTGTGTCGCTTTGTCTCCTGTCTTACCCACTTTCAGAGAGGAAGCATCATTTCGTAGGAAACCTATCAGTTTGGGCTTGTGTGCTGTTTTCTCATATTAGGTGAAGACTTCTTTACAGCAAGAACTCCACAGTGGTGTCCTTGCGCTCTTCTCCACACTCTGACATTGTACCGGGGAGGGGATGGGGGGATGGATGACATGGGTGAGAGTAGGACCACTTGTTCAAGGTGGTGTCTGCCAGGTTTCTTTACTGTTAGGTTACTGTGAATTATCTTGAGGGAGACACATGGATACTCTGCAGATAGTCTGTTTTTCTCCCACTCTAGCCCGCTGATTTTAGCGTCCACCACTGAAGCCTGCTTAGTCTAATAGCGATTTTGTATTTCTCTCGTTCCTTCTACATTAATTAATTGGAATTCTTTATTCTCTGCATTGTAATTCATAACTACCATTATTTATTTCATCGTTCAAATTATTCCAGCTTTGGTTATTGGGACTGTCTTCAGGTTGACTCCTGGGCCCTTGAGGCATACCCCAGCCTGTTTTGAGAACTTCTTTCTGACTCTGCAAGATGTTTCAGGCCCTATTTGTATTTTCCCCTCCCCAGCCCTATAGTCAGTCACTTCTCCAGGGAGCCTTGAGTCCTTATGTAAAACATATTTTTATAGCTTTAAGATATTACAAATGGTTATTTTTTCCATGTCTTCACTGATAATAAGTACCACTTGAAGTTCACCAAAATCAAGACCCCCAAATCACTGGCTTTTTACAGTAACTTTCCTATTGCACTGTAATACACAAAGTATGTATGTGCCTTGTTGAGTCCCTTAATTGCAGCATTGTACAAATATCGTTATTGGGTAGGCTTTATGTTGGCTGATTCTTGATTGTTTTTCAGACAGAGGAAATTGTGTTCCCTGTCAGCCTCTCTGCACAAAGCTGTGTCTCCGAATGCTGCTGGTTGTGTGGAAAGATAGTTACTGAGAGGGGGAGCATGCCATCCAGGCCCGTTCCCACCACCGCGATGCCTTTCCACCCGTGTGCCCTGCTGCCCGTGGGCCACAGGGCATCGCCTCCACCTGCCCGCCTGCCTTCTTGTCCTGCTTGTTGTGAGGGAAGTGTACCTACATGAAATGTGTTCAGGTCTTACAGGGTAATCTGTAGGAAGGGATTGGGTGCCTTTTAAAAAATGTTTCTCCTTATTTGGGTTTCTTCAATAAAGCATTTTGAACAGTTAGGATAATTTTTTTAAGTTTTCTTGATGTTACAGATGTTTGGTATTTACCTTTTTCTCCTACAGAGAAACCTGCCAAAGAAAACCCCGGACCCACAGAGTCCAGGGATGATGGCCTGCCTCCTCCAGCGGGAGGCAGGCCGCTCAGAGCTGCAGCTGTGCAGACGTGCCTGGCAGAACTGTCCATGGAAATAGAGGGTGACTTCTCTGCGTGTAGACGTGTGGGGGGAGAGGGGCCCAGTGGAGCCGCACACTGTGATGACCACGTTTCTAATGAGGGCCGGCATCCTGAACTCGCAGTGCCGAGGGACGACGAGGACAGTACTGACTTCTCTGATCGTGATCACTGTTTTGATGAAGATCTCCAGGCGGCAGTTGATTTCTTCAAACTTCCCCCTCCTCTGTTGTCTCCAGTGCCGTCACCCCCTCTGGTGTCCCTACCACCCCTGAGCACATTACCTTCTTCGCTCGCGCCTGTGAGTTTGCACTTGGCATTTGAGTTATCATGCGGGCACGTTCCCCATCCTGACACCTTAGCCATACTCAGGGAGTGCTGCTCAGTGATACTCAGACCAGACTTTACTGGGGACAGATGTGAGAACTGACTAGGGCATGCCAGCGCTCTTTGGATCAACGTGGATCACATGACATGTTCACTTAAGGTTGCATTCTGTGTGTCTTTATCCACAACCAAATTCGTAGTCCCATGTGGGAGGACTGTGTTCTAATTGTTCTTCCTTCTGCCACCTGGCACCTAATGCAGTGAATGGATTAAGTGCACGTTTGCGGGTCTGGAGTTTTTCAGAGATGGGGAATCCATGTACGTAGCATACATGCCCATTAACCTGTGTTTGCCGAATTCCCCGCTTTTGCTTGATGACTTCAGCACCTTTACATGTGTTTGCAGAATGGGATATTGTAAATTCTTAGGAAGTTAGTCTTGAGAAGCAGATTTGTATGCTTTTTGGCTTAAGGAGCAGATAAATGCATTGCTCTGAGTCACTCCCTTCTTTTAGGAAGCAGTGTACGTCTGTTCTGTTCCAGGGGCTGTGCTTGGCCTGGGAACACGGACGTGACACAGGCCATGGTTACCAGTTGCTGGATCTTGTGTGGTAGTTGGGCGGAGGAGGGAGCAGGCAATTGCACCACTTTGGTAGAGACTGCCGGGCTGGGGGGCACACCGGCTGGAGAGGACACAGGCCAGAGGCTGGCTCCTGAGGGAGGCGGTTGGAGGGGGCAAGGATGCTCTGGGAAGACAAGGCCCAGCTGAGTGTTCAGGAGGGCGGGGTGCTTCAGGTGGGGGAGCTCTTTATAGAGTCATGGGACTGAAGGTGAGTTTGTGCCAGAGAATGTTCACACTTCCCAGGTCCGCAGAGGCCATCTGTGCCCTTAGGACTTTCCATTTTATTGTGAGGGCAGTGGGAAGTCCTTGGTGGATCCTGGGAAGTGGACTTAATGATAGATGTTCAGTTGCAAGTTTCTATTTAGATTCCGTGTGATCAAGTAGGGAGTGGGGGTAGTCTGGACAGAGGCAAGAGCATAGCGGGGGAGATCCCTGACTGAATCAGCAGCTGCCAGCATTCTCGAATTCTCATCCCTGCAGCAGCACTGGGTTCAAGAGGTGGGGCTGGTTTGAGAAATGTTATGAGGGTGAATGAGTAGCGTTTGACGAGGTTTTCAGTGTGGTGTTTAGGGAGGTGGAGGAGGTGGGGAGGAAAATAGCAAAGAAAAGCAGCAGCCCTGCTTGGGTGGGAGGGTGCTGTGTCAGGTGTGGATCCGAGGCATGCATGGGGCTTGCAAGGGGACTCGTGCAATAGGATTTTAGAACCATGAGTGTGGTGCTCAGAAGGAGGCCAGGCGGTTGAGGAACCAGCTCTCCTGCTGGGCCATGTGATGGGGGCTGTTCAGCCAAGACAGCAGGGGCTGCCCAGGGGTTGTTTAGGGTTTCTGGGGCGGAGATGGAGAGCGGGCTGTGTGGGAAGGAGCAGTGTCAGTGTGCATACTGTTGAAAGAGGTAGAGCCTGTCTACTTGGTAGCAGCATCCCAGACGCAGGCTAGGCATGAGGACCTGTGGGCACGAGATACGTACAAGACGTCCCCCAGAGTGGTGGCCGGTCCCGCTGCGCTGGAGCTGGACGCCTGCGGAGGAGTGACCTGGAAGCAGGGGGACGAGAGGCTGTGCAGCCAGAGTCGGACACCTTTTGGGCCAGGAACCGGGAGGGAGAGCTGGAGACTAGGAATGTTTGGCCTTCGCAGAGTAGACCTAATCCTGGCTGTGTCTATTGTGGGAGGAGCGAGTGGTGGGAATTTGGGGAACTCGGGGACACAGGTCAGGGAAACGGCGGCAGCTTGGTGCTCAGACTGCAGTTCGTCTACCTACCGCTAGCTTCCAGACAGGGAATTACCCTTTCCTCGCTGTGTTTTAAAGGATTCTTCAAGAATGCATTTAATGGGTAGTTATGTTTAGTAGGTTCAATTAGTATTTAGTAAGAATCACTTTTTTAAAGCATTTAATTGGTAGCTGTGTTTAGTAAGTTCAGTTAATATTTAACTAATAAGAATAACTCATTCATTTTTAAGGAAACCTACTTTGGAGAGTATACAGATTCCAGTGATAATGAATCGTCCCAACATAGAAATTCTGCTGAGTCTGTTTCAGAAGATGAGACGTCTGAATCACAGTATTTTGGTTCATCCAGAAAAAGTAAAGGAAGTAGTGGTACCTGGGAGGAAAAGCTCAAATCACATGAAGCCACCCAAGCTCTGACTACATTGGAAGTAAATGAAGTGACAACTGTCGGGTTTGGGACATTCACAGCAACACTGAGAGAGCCTTCAGCCACATACTCCTTAGCTCGTGAGAAACACTGGATGGTGTCATCTGAATCGACAAGTGATAGGAGAAGAGGCGTTTTAGATGAGGCACAAAGACAGAGAGAGGTTAGAGAGGCGGATAAGTCAGTGCAGACTGAGAACATGCTTCATGAGCCCATCAGAAATGTGTGTGTTGAGACGTCGTCTGGCAGCCGGGCACAGGGCAGGGGAGAGGCCCTCCAGAAGTCTGATGTGTGTTCTCCCCTCGGCAAGAGGCCATTCAGTGAGCTCATGGAATCTGAAGGAAAAACCCTGCTATCCAAAATGATAGGATCACCCAAATCACAGTTTACTAAGTGGATGCTAACTAGTGAAATCCCTCTTGAATCAGATCATCTGTCAATCTCTGACCACTTTCAGGGAATGTGTAGAGTATTGGGGAAGGAGAGAGATGTTCAAGGGTTCATTTTTGGAGCATCACCTGAACCAGAGGACGATGCAGGTGATGCAATGGGTGTCACAGGGCTCAGTGTTGACGCCAGGCTTTCTTCCTCTTCTACCTCGGGAACATCGTCTGTCTGCAGTGACTCCCCATCTTCCTCTGGGTTAAAGTATGGTCATGATCTACACATTCCTGCTAAAGTTACCCCTATGGAACTGCATCACTCTGAACAAAAGTTACAAGCTGAAACCTTGAACATGTTAGATCTGCAGCCTGAGCCCCCAGAGTGTCCTGCCGGACAGAACCATCTGGAGAATAGCTTGTGTGCTTTGAGCCCTGAGTTGGGAGCATCAGATTTTAATAATCAGAGCAGCAGTGAGGTCGGGTGCACAAATGTTGTGAAAGGCATGCCCAAAGTCTGTTCACTTGCACAGTCAGTATTTATAAAAGCTATGAAAGAGGCACAGTGTCGAAGTCAGGGTCCCAGAACTGAGCTCCCCCTGACTAGGGCGGATTCTTCACCATTGCTAGAGTCTCAGTGTGGCTTGACCAAGAGTGGGTTTGGTTTTGTTAAAAGCCCTTCATGGCACCATAGTGATCTGTTAAGGAGAGGTGGGGAAGAAAGGATGAGAGCTAAGTCAGAATATGAACAGAAGACCAACCATCAGGTAGAAAAGGCAGTGCCATCCTTAGAGAGTAGAGGATCCACATCCAAGCCTGAACTTGCTAGAGAAAATAATGCTGCGGGGCTCAGGGCTGCTACATCACTGTTGCCAAACCAAGTGTCCGTGATCACCAAGCAGGCCAGGCCTGACACGGCGCAGAGTGCTAGACCGGAGCACTGGAGGCGCGAGACTGAGTCTGCCTTCGGAGCAGCACGTGCCGGTCCTGGGGCTGCATCCATGTCATCTGTAGCCAGACGTGGCAGAGAAGGAGAGGACACGGCACGGGATGCGCAGGGGACGGCTGCTACTGAAGGGACCTCGCCACGAGTTTCCACCTCGTGGAGAAAATTAGACTTCAGTTTTCCAAGTGCTTCTTTACCAGTAGGAAATTCTCATTGTTCCACAGATAGCGGACTGTCTTTCTCTTCTAAAAACATCCCGGTCCAAAACCAAGACGTTGTGACGGAAGCCTCAGCACAGGAAGAAGTGCAGAAGCAAAGTCTGCTCCTTCATGCCACGGATCTGGACTCGTCTGGGCTAGATGGGGATCGACTCCTTCCCGCCACAGAAGGGCCAGTGTCGAGAAGTTTTCCTGTGGACGAAGTACCCTTTGGTGGCACGGGCAGATCTAGTGGTGAGGCCCTGGCCGTCTCAGAGGATTCTCCTCGTGTCCGGCAGAGCCTGGAGTCTCTAGAGCTGCCGTCTCAGACTCCTGGCAGTGCTTCTCCTAAAGGTCCAGGCACTACAGGGACTGCTCTTCCATCGGCCATTCTCAGGAAAGAGGAAGAGACGCATGCTGTCCCCCAGAGTGGCCTCGCTGGGGCTCTGTGTTACACGGGCATTCGGGAGGCAGGCGGTGGCGACACAGAGGTGGAGGAGAGTGAGGCACCTAGCTGCAGCGAGGGGGAGAGTGAGTCCGAAGCCGCGATGGGGGACAGACAGCAAGGTGCCGCCCGTGCCTCCAGAAAAGATTTAGGAGCTGGAGGTGCTGGCGCAGCCGAGACCAGGCCTTCTGTTGAGGTGGGGTGTCTGACCTCCGCGCTGCAGGACTTCAACATCAGTACTCTTTCTGAGGTAGACGGACTTTCTACATCAGAGGTCGTGATGTTTCTCGAAAGTTGTCAGTTAAGAGATTATAGTTCAGGGGACTCTGTTTCAGAATGTTCGAGCAAAGGAACCCTATATAAAGAAATGAACAAAGACTTAAAGGCAGGTGAGCTCTCAGGAGGGAAGTACAGAAAGCAGCTCTGTGAAGAAGAAACCCTTGAAACCTCCGAAGAGTGGATTGAATCTGAGGAAGATGATGGTCCTCTGAGGAGCACGGATCAACTCACACGACGTTCCTTGGAAACGCTGTCTGAGGTACTCACCAGGGTCGGCCAGGCGCTTCAGACCAGCTGTGAGAGCTCTCCTGGAAAAGACGCCGGTAACCTGCTCTTAAATACGCATGACAGCCTGACCACTAAGCCTGCCCGAGAGCACATCCCACCTCAGGAGGTGAGTGGCTTCCTGCCAGACCCTTCAGGAACACCCCCTCCAACAGCCAGCGTGGCCAGCAAGGGCCGTTCTCCGGCCAGAGGCATATTGAGTAACAAAGTCACTCCAGGCAGTCCTAAGGGTGTTCCCGATGTCACCAGCCCGATCTGTGGTGGGGCAGGGGTCCTGTCGGAGCCGGCAGAGCCCTCCCCCCAGCGCTCTGACTCCATGGTGGGGCAGACCGTGGAGGGCAATGCCGAGGAGGGGGCAGAAACGACATTTCAGTGTCAAATATCAACAGTGACCTCCGAAGTCATAAATGTGCTCATTAATAAGGATCAGAATCTCGTCATTGAAAAGGGGGACCACTGGACCATCATAAATGGGGTCGCTCTCATGCCAAATGTGGACCAGGTCATACTGTGTGACAGTCCCGAGGACATTCCTGCTTCTCCAGATCGAGGAGACTTGGGAGCTGGCTTCCTTTCCGTTACTTCCTTGGACAAGTCCCCAGAGACCAGTCACCCTGGCCGTCCATTTCAGGAGCCCCAGTGTGGCAGCAACCTGTCATGTGCCCAAGAGGAAATTTCCAGCAGCAGCCAGAGCACCAACTTCGATAAAAGTCGTTTGCGCAATAGGCCTGTCAAACCTAGTGTAAGGATTAGTTCTGAAATCTATGATCAGAACTTTGAGTCTCAGACTATTGCGTCTGATCACACATACTTTAACTCGAAACTAGAGCCATTCAGCAAAAATAAGAATCGATCAAAGATTTCAAACAAAGATCAATCAAACAAGCTGGCAAAGGCTTTAGCATCAAGCCGAGTTGAAGCTAATCAGAGTGAAGGTTCTCAGTCATATTCAGGAGAAAGAGAGAACACAAAAACTCAGAAAAATCAAACTCAGACCATTTTAGCCAATGCTGACACATCGACTCCTACAGATTGTTCTGATACTCTGAGTAAAATCCGGCAGGAGGTGGGGCCTCCCCTGCCACCCTTGCTTGCTCCTCTGGTCGCTACACCTCCAAGGACTTCGCAACCAGTTTCTCCTCTGATAGTAACTTCCTCTCCCTCCTCACCTACCTCTCCTATTGGCCAGATTTCTCCTTTGTGTGAAATCCCAGTGCCTCCTGTGATGTCTCCTTTGCCAGAAGAGCCGGGATGCCTCTCCCCTCCGTGCACATCTCCGTCCCCATCCACTGCCCTGGCCGGCGAGAGGATCTTGTCATCACCCTTGCAGTTTTGTGCTGCGACCCCAAAGCATGCCCTCCCCGTGCCTGGCCGCCTCCCGCCCTTGGCACCTGCCCACACGGCTGTGGCCGGACCCCAGGAGAATTCCGTTAAAATCCTTGACACCATGTACCCAGAGCTGTCTGCCAGGGCCCGCACCCTCAACATCCTCAAAGGGAATATTCAGCTCACTCGAGGTCCGTCTGCAGACTGTAAAAGCTTAGCAGGGCCTGTCAACGCTATAACAGGATTCAAGGCAATTACCTCAACGTCCACGGCCTTTGTTAAGACGGGAGGCAGCTCAGGGAGCGACTGTAGTCAAGAGAAGTCCAGAGATGGGGGGACTCGCCAGGATGCAGGTGGGAAAAGGACGTTGTCTGCATCAACACTGAGGAGTGCCAAAAGACTGCGGCTGGACAGCGGGTCCCCAGAACCAGAAACTGGGGGTGCCACTGCAGAAGGAGTCAGCAAGACCCTCCGGAGGAACCTCCCTCAAGCTGAAGGTGTGACGACAGAGGAAGAAAGTTCTCTTCTGACCATCAGTACGGTTTCACAGGTGCCTCCAAACCCAAAAGAAACCGTAGAGTCCCATGACCAAGCCATAGCTGGTGCACTGAAGAAAATCGCAGAGTCATCTTTTGATCTCTTACCTGTCATTCGGAGTCACGTGTATGTGGGAAATATCTCTAAAAAGCCTGTAATGAGAGATCAAGAGAAGGAAGTTGTTTATGAATTTAGCACAACCAAAAAGGTACGTGGCTGCTTTTCTCTAAGAGCGTTAGGAATTACATGTCCTCAGAGATTGGTTGTCTGCTATCAGCAAAGTGGTAGATTACCCTGAACAGAAATTTTATTTTAGAGATCGACAGTTATCCAGATAAACATTGTGACCTCTACTTTGTTTGTAGTCAGCATTTTGTACACTTGAGGTGTGAGAAGACACTGGCGACTTGGTCATTTGTATTCATCAAATACCTTAAAATTTTGAAGAAGTAAAAGTATCTGTCAGGACTGCAGTTGCATTTTTCCCATCAATTCTGACATGTTTAAAGGCTCGAAATGACTTGCTCCAAAGCATCAAATTATGCTCCTTTCTTTTCCGTGAATAGCACACACACATTTGAGAGTTTGAGGGTCTTCCAGAAAGAGAGCAAGGGTTTCCCCTGCCCCTCCTTTAATGTCTGTCACAAATGAAACAGGAACAAATCCTGGTTTCAAGATAGGGACAGTTAAAGTGGGAGCATTGTGCAGATTCACACACCTGGTTTATTAGGACTCTTACAGGGTTATATTTTCCAAGTGTCCATGTCGACACCTTGTGTGGATTATTTCCAGTGCCCCAAGGATCCTGCTGTATTGGTTATCTGCACATCCTTGGAGTCATACTAGTGTAAATATGTATGTATTTTTTTTAGATTGCTTACTTTCAGGAAACAGAGTAATACATGTTACTTTGAAAAGATACTTATTTTCAGATGAACAAATGGATCAAATTATTTAATGCCCTTTTTCTCAAGTAGGAAAAAAAACGTTGCCCAGTTTTTGTAAGACCTAAAGAAGATAAATGTGTAGGGCACATCAGAGTTCAGAAAACAGGAATGGGAGAAGCATTAAGAGTGGGTGTAATGCACACACACAAAATTATTTTAGCCAAAACCAAGGCAGTGTACTTGGTTGGCGTGGCCGTAACAGCAGGCAGGCGGGTGTGGCACGTGGCCCGTGGCACCTGCAGGCAGCCCGCCGGTCTGGGCCTCTTGCCCCGCACACCCAGGCGGGGGGTGTTCACGGCCGAGTCAGGCAGGTGGTTGGCCACAGTGACTGCTCTTTTCTCCTGTCTGATACGGTGCCCATTTTACGGCCCTAATAGATAATTTTGTCATTTTTAGCTGTTCTTCAGTAGGCAAAAGAAATACCAGTGTACATTGCCTTTTTTTTCTTTTTTCTTTCTTTCTTTTTTTTTTTTCCCCTCCAATCCAGCATTTAGCAGAGTGCTTGCTTCACTCTATTCTCTCAGAACTAAAAATTCAGAAGATCTCTATGGAGCGCAATTACATTCACGCCCTCTGCAGAGTGTATGTGGGTATTTGTCGGCAACTTGGAGACTTGGAAAGAGCTCGTTTGTTTTGCTACAGCCTACTTAAGGAAGGTATGTTTAGATAGTGACATTTCTGTATTGGAAGTCTGCTACTGCTTTTTTACCTCATCATTACACTTGGATCTGTATTTGCAGCTAAGTGATTGCTGCATATCTTTGAAAGTAGCATTAATGTTTGGGCATTCACCAGAGGACATGAAGGGCGTTAGCTGTGCCAAGTCGTGCCTGGTTTTCAGTGGGAGAATTTACATGACTTAAACTTACTTCTTATATCAGCACATACATTTCCGCTGGTATATCATCTAGGGTCTCTCATTACTGCGTTGTTGGTCTCTTCCTGGTGCATCTTCTGAAGAATCAGATACAGGCGACACAAGATAAGGGAATGATTGTAAAGTCAATGACAGACCACACTGCTGCATCCCTGGCTGGAAAAGGCAGAACTCTAAACTGGAATCGGGAGCCCGTGGCAAGAAGAGGACCAGAGGGCGGTGGATAGGAGGGCTCTCCTGGGGTCCCCTTTTCCCTTCCTCTGCTTCCATCCCCACTAATGGGGCAGATCAGGAGTCATCCTTTGTAATAGGACATCCTCAGGGGAAACATTTGTAAACACGGAAATGATACACAAATGCAATTTAATTTCATATCAGAAAGTCTTCTCTCGACAGTGAAGGTTTTTCATCCTAACAGCATGATGTTCACAGGGCTTGTGAAGCGGGTAATGGAATGTGCCCATAGCATGCAGACCTGTGAATGAGGCTGCCGTCTGTTGCCCTCTTCGTGTCTTTGTTTATTCTTTCAGTCATTGGTGGACTCCATAGTAGTTCACGGGGTGCTCGCTAGGTCGTAGGGCCTGGATGGTGACTGGAACCTGATGCAGACACGCCCGTATGGTGAGGCCCATCCTTGCCGGTCACGTGGCCCCGGCGCTCATGGGGCTCCCTCAGTGGCAGGTACTAGCAAGGCGAGCAGCGGGGACTGCTGAGTCCCCACTGAGGTTCTGTTCTTGTCACACACCGCCAGCCCCCTCTCCCGTCAGGCTCATGGGGCGCAGGTCTCTCCCTCAGAAGCTTTCCCCATTATTGGGGCTCCCACAGCCGTTCTTCGTCCTCCAGGCTCCTGGCTTTTTCTTCATGGGCGCTTATCCCCTTGCCTTGTAGCCTGAACCCTTTTGTTTGCTGTCTCTGTCCTCACCAGATTGCGTGTTCTGTCAGCACAGGGATTCTGTTTGTCTTGTCCCTGCTTATCCCTACCCCACAAGAACGCATTGTACGCAGCCATTGAGGATCTGTTGCGTGAGGGACTGTGCCGTGGAAGGGGCTTTGTGAGAGTCTGAGGGGTCAGGAAAGCTCTCCTGGTCAGAGCGGCTTCTCATCTTGAGGCGTGAAGCTCGATGCCAGCGAGCGCCTACGAGAAACGTGAGGGAGAGGCTGCCGGGCAGAAGGAGCAGCATGTGGGAAGGTCCTGGGGCGGGAGGACATTCTGTCTCCGAAACAGCTGGTCAGAATAGACTGTGAGCCTCTGCTTTGACTTTTCTGCTCTGGAAACACAAGATGTGGCTTCCTGCCAAACGGTAAAATTTGTGTCTACTGGTTCAACCAAGTTGCAAAACACGGACAGTTTCTTATAAAATCAAAATATTCATTTATCGTATGACCTCAAAATCCCACTCGCACGTCCTTATCTAACAGAAGTAGAGACTGCCCTCACCTAGCCTGGTACTCACATAGCCACAGCATTTTCACTGGTAGCTGCCCATTGCTGGAGACAGACGTCCGTCAGCAGGTGAAGGAAGAACAGGTGTGCGGTATCAAGCAGTTGAATACTTGTTGGCCACACAAAGTGAGGGGCTGCTGATGTGTGTGGCAACACAGATGAATTGCAGAATCATTCTGCTGAGTCAGGGAGCCAGACAGAAAAGAGTGCGTGCTATCCGAATCCATTCATGAACATTTGAGGAAAGACAGCTAATTTCCAGTGGCAGTAAGCAGATCAGGGTTGTCTGTATCTGGGGTGACGTGACTCACTAGAAGGGGTCAGGCCATGGGAATTTGGGATGATGGAAATGTTCTCTGTTGATTGTGGTATGGGTTACATGGATATATTCATTCATCAAAATTCATCAAACTGCGTGCTTAAGAAGAGTATATTTTATTGTGTGTGAGCTGCATGTGGGTTAGGTTGATTAAACAAACAGCCAACCATGGGAAAGAGCATTCACAGTAGAAGATTATCATCCGTAATGTATAAAAGCATCTCTTCAAATCAAAAGCCTTTTATGTGTTTCACAGGTGAGTTCTGTCTTCCAAATGCATAAGAAATCGCCTGAATGACACTTCACAAATGGAGAGGTTCTAGGGTTGTGGAAGTCTGGAGAGACAGGCTTACTTTTGCTTCATGTTTGGGATTTTATGGTTCTTTTCATAAGACAGTGCTGTATATCCAGGTATTATATTTCAAATTTAATTAAGGAAGATTTGCCAAAGTGAAGGGGCTGGGGAAGAAAGAAGCAGATTTGTAAGAAGCAGGGCCTCCTCAGGCACCTCCTTTCAGTGTTAGGAGACCTTGCAAGGCACAAGTGAAATTATTAAAGTAAGTTCTTAGCTTGTAATTTATTCACTTGATCAGACCTAAAGGTTTTTTGTCTTTTTTTCTCATAGATTTTCCAGAGTCAGAGAAATTGACTTTGTTCATTGCAAACATGTGGCATGATATATTTATTTCCCAATCGGTGATTAATAAGGCAATGCAGTTGGTTGCCAGGCAACGTGCTAAAGGAGAGGTTCGGAACTGTTTGAGAGCCTTTCTCAACTGGGAAAAGGTGAGGTTTGTTTTTATTGCTCAATTGTCAGACCTTACTTGCAGATCTCACATGAATGTTTTTACTTGGCTTTGTATTTAGTGTCGACTTAGTTCATAGGCATTTTAGAGACAGGACTCTTCCTGTTAGATCCTTTAAAATACCATTTTAGCCTAAGCTTATGCATTTAGTTTGGGAAATACGCATGAGGCACTTCGGTAAGAATTGGAGATGGAGGTGTTGTGTTAATTTAACAGAAGTTTATTTTGTTCACTGATCTACAACTGATGACCGTGTAGAATATACATGTGTGTGCAGGGCTCACAGGAGCTACATGGCATTTGCTTCTATGGTGGGCACTTGGAGAGCTAAAAAATGGCATTGCAACTCCTTCCTGTTTTGACTTTTTTTAATCTAATATTGTGTATTTTTCTTTTTGGTTGATGGAATTTTTATTTAAGTATTTTGTTCCTGTGTGTTCTTCTCCTTTTTTTATTATTTTCTTTGGTAACTGGGTGCTAATATACCATCTAGATTGGTGTTCTTTTATGTTATAGCTGTTTATCTAGTGACAATCTCTGGAAGTTGAATTGACAGTGCTAAACTCTGAGATGTCGAATTCAGTAAGGGGTTGATTTCGGTTTGTTTTTTATTTGTTGAGAGAGAGAGTGTGTGCACGTGTGTGCAGGAGAAGGAGCAGAGGGAATATTTTTTTTTTTGAGAGAGAGAGAGTGCAGAAGGGTTACAGGGGAGAGGGAGAGAGAGAATCCCAAGCAGACTCCGTGCTGAGCAGAGAGCCTGATGCAGGGCATGAGTTCACAACCTTGAGATCCTGACCTGAGCCTAAATCAAGAGTCCTGACGCCCAACTGACTGAACCATGCAGGTGCCCCATCTTCTATTTTCTTATGAAAAGTAAAGGAAAGGGCTATTAGTAAACAAAAGTTAAGGAAATACTAAAAAGCAAGTCTGTAATCATCTTTTCAGCAACTTATCTAGACAAACCAGAGTGTAGTCCTGGGAGGGTCCATCGGATTCAGGTCAGCGGCTTAGTCGGAAGAGCCCTTCCACCTCCTGTCATTGACCTGCCTCAGTCACGCTCCCTCCCCCAATACCTTCAAGGCCCCTCCCCCCAGGGTTCTGCAGGGGGACTTGCATCTGCTTTGGTCTTCCTTCTTTGGCCTGGTCACAATGAAACCACATATGGTAATTTGGTGATAAAAGACATTATAAAGAAAATAGAATTTTAATAAATGCGTTTGCTCTATATCATATCAAATAAAAATATAAAGTCAAAGGTATAAAAAATTGAGTAATACTTGGGGTAAAAATACCATTATAAGATAAGACTTCCAAATTTTCTCTCACAGAATTCAACAGATCGGATAGACAAAAATGAGTAGAAACAGTGGAATTCAGTAATACAAAATGTAAGCTTGAATGAAGAGTATGTATTTCTTTGTATGCCTGTGGCACATCTATAAAACCAGTCATGAATTTGGCCACATGAAAACTTTAATTCTTTTTTTTTTTTTTTTTTAAAGATTTTTTTTAGTT